GTCAGGGAGAAGGACAGTCACGGAGAAGGACCGTCATGGAGAAGGACTGTCAGGGAGAAGGACTGTCAGGGAGAAGGACAGTCACGGAGAAGAACCGGAGAAGGACAGTCACGGAGAAGAACCGTCACGGAGAAGAACCGTCACGGAGAAGGACCGTCAGGGAGAAGGAACGTCAGGGAGAAGGACCGTCACGAGAGAAGGACCGTCACGGGAGAAGGACCGTCACAGAGAAGGACTGTCAGGGAGAAGAAAGGACCGTCACGGGAGAAGGACCGTCACGGAGAAGGACCGTCAGGGAGAAGAACCGGAGAAGGACCGTCACAGAGAAGGACCGTCACGGAGAAGGACTGTCAGGGAGAAGAAAGGACCGTCACGGGAGAAGGACCGTCACGGAGTAGGACCGTCACGGAGAAGGACCGTCAGGGAGAAGGACCGTCAGGGAGAAGGAACGTCAGGGAGAAGGACCGTCACGGAGGACAGTCACGGAGAAGAACCGTCACGGAGAAGGACCGTCACGGAGAAGGACCGTCAGGGAGAAGGAACGTCAGGGAGAAGGACCGTCACGGAGGACAGTCACGGAGAAGGACCGTCACGGAGAAGGACCGTCAGGGACAAGGACCGTCACGACAGAAGGACCGTCACGGGAGAAGGACCGTCACAGAAAGGACTGTCAGGGAGAAGAAAGGACCGTCACAGAGAAGGACCGTCACGGAGAAGGACTGTCAGGGAGAAGAAAGGACCGTCACGGGAGAAGGACCGTCACGGAGTAGGACCGTCACGGAGAAGGACCGTCAGGGAGAAGGACCGTCACGGAGAAGAACCGGAGAAGGACCGTCATGGCGCTCTCTGCACCACAGGTGTTGTTCATCATGAAGAACTTCTCCCCTCACACGATGCGACTCGTACAGCGTGGACATTTAAAGTGACTACTCGCGCACAGGTCGTGTTAAAGTGCAGAAACGTGGATTTATTTCAACGTGCTGTCGTTTAGCAGCACTTTATTAACTTTTAAAGATGTTACGAAACGTTTACATGAAGTTGGCTAACATGAGCTAACGCGGCGTGTTCAAAGACATGCGCGCTCATGGGACGGAGCACGAACATTTATGAGCTCGAGGCTGCCGGACGGTAACGCTGTCACTAAACGTGAGCTGTACATCATCACTCACCTGTACGGAGGACTGCTGTCACGATAACACACGCTTCACCTTCAAAAATGAAACGAACATGCGGGAGAACACGCTGACGTAGTCACGTTTGCTCTCACGTGACTTGACGGCTTTGCTGAGGGTTCTGGGAAATGTAGTTCATCAAAAGGCAGGAACGCCGAGAAGAGCAACAACAATATATTTCATATTTCATATGCCACGAATCTAAGGTAAAATTAATATTAACATTTGAAACAGGATGCTATTTTCCAGAATAAATTTTAGGAAAAAAAAAACAAGCAGTTTATCTGAAAACAACTTCACGTGCCTTGAGATGACCTCTGTTGTGACTTGGTGCTATATACTGTAAATAAATAAAGTAATAATCTAAAAAACACTTGTAAGTTAAAATAAAATTTGGCTTCATTTAGCTAAATTAGTCAACATACAAGTTAAGAAATTCCAGATTTATTTCTGTCTCGAAAAATACTGATCCTTGTAACAAATCTGTGCTATATTATTATAAAGAAAACTATTTCAATTTTTGGCCAACAACTACATGTGACATCAAGCATATAATTTCTGTATGAGAAAATTTAGATTATCTTTATGTAAAACTATTTACTTTATGTAATACTTTTATACTTATTTTAATGGGAAACACTAACATTAGACTATGAGGACAAGACATTTTGTTTAAAACAGTAACTAAACAAACGTTCATCCCCTCTGGCCCTGCACTGTGTCCTAATGATGTAAGTGGCTGCAGGTGTAAAGACGTGAATGCCCCTGAGCAGGATCTCTGCTGAAGTGCACCATGGCATGTTGGGCCATGGTTGTGTGTGTTCATTTATGTTACAACAGATCCGTCATAATGAAACTCTTAGTAATTATTGCTGTACATCGACAACCAACTTGTTTTCATCAATAAAATCTTATTAACAGGTGCATCTAAAAACATATATATATATATTTTTTTTTTAATTGTCAATCATTTCAGAAAATGAAATTCATCTATTACAAAGATTACATGGAGTGAAACTTTACTGACAAGCTTTATGGAGATTTCATTTCCAGCAGGACTTGGCTTCTGCCCACACTGTCAAAGGACCTAAAGCTGGCTGTGGAATATTCTCAGGCACTGAATTTTCATTATTAAGCCATAATGAGAAATAAAGCTTTAACATATTTTACTTTATGTGTTATAAATCCGTATAATACAGTACTGTGTACAAGTTTCACTTTCTTAAAGCATTGACAAAACGTTTTTTCACAACATGACAAGAACCAGTTTGGAAAGGGGTCAAAAACGTGATGCAATATTCTAATTTATTGAGATGCACCTGTATTGTCTCTGTCAGGTGCTTATCATAAAATTAGAATATCATGAAAAAGTTTATTTATTTCAGTAATTCCATTCAAAAAGTGAAACTTGTATATTATACTCATTCAATACACACAGCCACGATGGCCGCGCTCAGAGCAGTTGCAGCTTCACAGGCTCCCGGTACCATCCCAGTTTTCAGAAGTTTTGATATTGACTCTGTGCCTGACTCCGCACGATTTATGCGTGTGAATTATAGCGGAACCGAACTGATGAGAATAGGAGCCGATTTGCCACGAAATATAGCAGAAATCAGCAACAAACTAACTCAAAACTACACTCGGCAGAATGCAGATCTTAAAGTCATCTACCTGGAAGCTGAAGCAAAGTCGCACCAATGGGCAGAGGAGGAAGCGCTGCTCCCGGCTTAAAAGGAGAGGATGCCGGGCGGGGGTTATGGTGAGGCTACGAGCTAACGCTAAAGCCGGTAAACTCCCCATGCCATCTCTCTTTCTGTCGAATGTCCGCTCTTTAGACAACAAGATGGATTTACTTTGTCTGAGAGCGGGCGCCTCAGAAGAGATGATGAAGTGTGCGGTGCTTTGCCTCACAGAAACGTGGATTACAAGCGAAACACCGGACACAGTCTTCCAGCTGGATGAAAGACTTTTTTTTTGAGCGGACCGCTGCAGCAAGATAACGGGGAAATCACGGGGAGGCGGAGTATGCATTTACGTGAGTAAAAGTTGGTGCACGAACTGTACTGTTGTAAATAGCTCATGCTCGAAGGCTTTGGAGCAAATAACAGTGAAATGTCAGCCACATTATCTACCCCGCGAGTTCACGGTGACTTTCATCTCTGTCGTTTACATTCCGCCGGACGCTAATGCTAATGAATCACTGCAGGAGCTTCATGATATCATCAGCTCACTGCAGAGCAAACACCCCAAGGCTCTTTACGTGGTAGCCGGAGACTTTAACCACGTGAATCTAAAGGTGTGAATCTAAAGGACTGTCTCCCAAGCTTTAATCAACATGTGACAATTCCGACACGTGGAGACAAGACGCTGGACCGTGTTTACACGAACGTAAAAGATGCATACAAAGCCGAACCCCGCCCCCACCTAGGACTGTCAGACCACATCTCAATCTTCCTGGCTCCTGCTTACATGCCTCCGCTGAGACGCTCCAGACCGGTACAAAAGAAAGTTAAATGCTGGATCCAGGACAGTGGCCCCATACTGAGAGATTGTTTTGACCGAACAGACTGGCAGGTTTTCAGAGAAGCTGCTGAAAATGGAGGTTCACTTGATCTTGATCAATACACATCCTCAGTTCTGGGTTACATTAGTACATGTACTGACACCGTCTCCACTATCAGAAATGTTAAAAGCTACCCAAACAGAAAACCTTGGCTGAATGCAGAGGTGCGTACCCTGCTGGAAGCCAGGAACACTGCCTTCAGGTCTGTAAACTCAGAGGAGCTGAGTACGACAAGAAAAGAGCTGGTTGCTGGTATTAAGAGGGCCAAGGCCACATATGCACAGAGGATCGAGGGTCAATGCATCTCACAAGAACCTTGGAGCATGTGGAGGGGCATTAAGTGCATAACAGATTATAAAGGAAGGAGCGAACAATGCCCCAAAGACCCATCTCTGCCTGATGCCCTCAACAAGTTCTATGCACACTTTGAAGACTCGAACAGACCACCTAGCACCAGACTCACCTCACCAAAGGATGAAGAGCATCTCAGCGTGACCTCAGCAGAAGTAAGGAGTACCTTCAGGAGGATTAATCCGCACAAAGCAACTGGCCCAGACAACATCCCCGGAAAAGTGTTGAGGGAATGTGCTGATCAGCTCTGCGAGGTGCTGGCAGACATCTTTAACACCTCACTTACCCTGGAGACAGTTCCCACCTGCCTGAAGACTGCCACCATCATCCCAGTCCCAAAAAGCTCTACAGTGACTGGTCTGAATGACTATCGGCCAGTGGCCCTCACCCCGATAGTTGCTAAATGCTTCAAAAAACTGGTCATGACTCACATCAAAACAACCATCAACATCAACGAGGACCCTCATCATTATGCATACCGTGAGAACCGATCAACAGAGGACGCCATCTCCGCTGTGGTCCACACTGCGCTCAACCACCTGGAGCAGAAAAACTCTTACGTCCGTATGCTCTTTGTGGACTTCACACCCACCTTCAACACCATGATCCCCCAAACCCTGATGGACAAACTATCCACACTAGGACTAAGCCCCTCCATTTGCAACTGGGTACTAGACTTCTTAACAAACAGACTACAGTTAGTGAGGATCCACAACTTCTCCTCCTCCACCATAACCCTCAGCACTGGCTCTCCTCAGGGATGTGTGTTGAGCCCCCTCCTGTTTACTCTGCTCACGTATGATTGTGCAGCTACCCATCCAGGCTGTCACATTGTAAAGTTTGCAGACAATACAGCGGTGGTGGGATGCATCACAAACAATGATGAGTCCAGCTACAGGCAAGAGGTGGAACACCTGGAGAGCTGGTGCAAAGAGAATAACCTTCACATCAATGTGAAGAAGACAAAGGAGATGATTGTGGACTTCAGAAGGAACAAAAACATCTACACCCCCCTGAACATAAGAGGATCTGCGGTGGAAGTGGTCTCCAGTTACAAGTACTTGGGTGTACACAGGAATGACAACCTCAGCTGGAGCAACAACACCACCAGCCTGATGAAGAAAGCTCATCAGAGACTCTACTTCCTCAGACGGCTGAGACGAGCTGGTCTGGGAAGCTCAGTCCTCACCTCCTTCTACAGGTGTGCAGTGGAAAGCATCCTGTGCTCCAGCATCAACGTGTGGTATGGAGGCTGCGCAGCTGCAGAAAGAACAGCTGTGCAGAGAGTGGTGAAGGCTGCACAGAAGTCTGTCGGAGTCAGCCTCCCCACCATCACAGACATCTACACCTCTAGATGCAGGAAGAGGGCTACCTGAATCATGAAGGACCTCACTCACCCAGCACACACACTTTTTGCCCCACTCCCCTCAGGAAGGAGGTTAAGGAGCATTAAGTGTAGAACCACTAGACTGAGGAACAGCTTCTACCCTGAGGCTGTTAGACTCATGAATCTCTAACTAGAATAATCACTGTGAAAAACCACATCATGTTGCTGCTGATCTGTTTCATGTTGCTGCTGATCTGTTTCAGTGTTGATGTGTTCATGCGTGCTCATCTACTCACACAGACTCATGTTCATGTTTGTGCTGATGTTCAATGTTTTTATGTTATGAGTGCTTAGTGTATATTTAGTTGATGTTTTTCTTAGTTCATATCTTAGATGTTATTACTGTTTTTCTTATACATTTCATTGTTGGATGTAACTGGGACCATGTGTACATAATTTTGTTCCACCACATGTACCACATGAGGTGCGAATGACAATAAAGAAACTCTGACTCTGACTCTGAAGAGAGGACACCGGACAGGGGTTCTAGTGAGGCTACGTGCTAATGCTAAAGCAGGAAAACTCCCGATACCGTCTCTCTTTCTGTCGAACATCTGCTCGTTGGACAACAAGATGGATTTGCTTCGTCTGAGAGCGGGCGCCTCAGAGGAGATGATGAAGTGTGCGGTGCTTTGCCTCACAGAAACATGGATTACAAGAGAAATGCCGGATTTAGTCTTCCAGCTGGATGACAGACTCTTTTTTCGAGTGGACCGCTGCAGCGAGCTAACGGGGAAATCACGAGGAGGCGGTGTGTGCATTTACGTGAGTAAAAG